TTTCTATATCACTTTGTAGTTTTCACATTTCAAACTATTTAAAAAAAATTTTTTGTTCGAATATGGTCGAAACGACGATAACTGACATTTTACGACTGTGTTCGAATATGGTCGTAACATGTGATTTATCGTCCTTTCTATATCACTTTGTAGTTTTCACACATCAAACTATTTTAAAAAAAATTTTTTGTGCGAATATGGTTGAAACGACGATAACTGACATTTTACGACTATGTTCGAATATGGTCGTAAAATGTGATTTATCGTCCTTTCTATATCACTTTGTAGTTTTCACACTTCAAACTATTTTAAAAAAATTTTTTGTGCGAATATGGTTGAAACGACGATAACTGACATTTTACGACTATGTTCGAATATGGTCGTAAAACGTGATTTATCGTCCTTTCTATATCACTTTGTAGTTTTCACACTTCAAACTATTTTAAAAAAGTTTTTTGTGCGAATATGGTTGAAACGACGATAACTGACATCTTACGACTATGTTCGAATATGGTCGTAAAATGTGATTTATCGTCCTTTCTATATCACTTTGTAGTTTTCACACTTCAAACTATTTTAAAAAAATTTTTTGTGCGAATATGGTTGAAACGACGATAACTGACATTTTACGACTACGTGCGAATATGGTCGTAAAATGTGATTTATCGTCCTTTCTATATCACTTTGTAGTTTTCACACTTCAAACTATTTTAAAAAAATTTTTTGTGCGAATATGGTTGAAACGACGATAACTGACATTTTACGACTATGTGCGAATATGGTCGTAAAATGTGATTTATCGTCCTTTCTATATCACTTTGTAGTTTTCACACTTCAAACTATTTAAAAAAAATTTTTTGTGCGAATATGGTTGAAACGACGATAACTGACATTTTACGACTATGTTCGAATATGGTCGTAAAATGTGATTTATCGTCCTTTCTATATCACTTTGTAGTTTTCACACTTCAAACTATTTTTAAAAAAATTTTTGTGCGAACATGGTTGAAACGACGATAACTGACATTTTACGACTATGTGCGAATATGGTCGTAAAATGTGAGTTATCGTCGTTTCTTTCGTCAACTCAGGGAACTGTTATTTTTCAGAACATTTCAATATAGTGAAATGTGTAAATGTTTGGTAGACTATGTAAATTAAACCCATTAAAATCTAATATAATCAATACATACAATTAGATTTGGTTTATATAGGTTTCATTGAATCGTTTTTTTTAATATAATGGAATTTCAACCGAATATAATCATTTGTTCGAATTTTTTTGAGAGTGACTATGAGAAACCACGCTAATTCGTTTCTATCCATAAAGATCCGGTGCAAAATTATTTGTTGCACCATCGCATTAAAACGGCCGTCCTGCATGATTCAATTAAAAAGGGTTTTATTGCACTCTAAACGGACAAGTATACTAGACTTATTGATAATTACACCTGTTCTTCTTCGTACTAGCAAAAATACACGACAAAAGACCTTACCTCCTGAGATTTTGGCTGCGCTCGATATATGTTATGAAAACCTCTGTCGACGATGTTCATGCGCAAAAGGAAATCGTTTTGGCTGCATAATTTTCGTGTTTTTGCATACAGATATCATAAAGGATGGTCGTAACATTCCAGTTCTCGCCATAATTTAAGCGCTCGAATTTTATTATGAAGCTTGTTGCGTCTTTCACTTTTTCCTTTTAATTTTCTGTGTCGTTTAAAAATTTATCTAAAATTACTTTTATCTAACTACTTAACTGAACTTAAGTTAAACTTGTCAACCCAAACACTTAACTAAAAATTGATCAAGTTTTTGCCTGTGGGGGCGTAGCAATAAACATGTGCACCTATAAGCATGCGATAGTTGCTTCAAAAAGGTAGAATTTCTGGCTATTAAACTTCACGTTTCACGAGAATATTAAACTTCAATTTCATTAATAATTTTTTCACCTTCACGAATATTTGATTAGTGAATATGAATTTTTTAATCCTTAAATAATCAAACTTTTTCATAATTATTTGATAGCTTAGGCTATTAATTTATAAATAATATCATTATTCGTGCCTGCCGGTTAAAACCTGCCGATAAAAATCATTTTTCGGCGGAGTTAGTTAAAACCTGTTTTTCGTACGAAACTTTCCTGTTTAATCCGCCCTTGAAATTGAGTCTTTGTTAAACGATTTATATTTGAAAAGCAAAGGCTATAATACTCAGGCGACTGGTTTTTATCATTTTAGCGTTCTATTTTTAATAATGGTATTAGTCGTCATGTTAATGGAATGGCGACTCAATTTATTAGTTGTAGCAGAAACAAAAAATGCGCGACCTCAAATGTTAGTAAAATTAGACTGATTTTTACCATCGAAGTAAACTACACTGTTTAATGAATAGATGTTTGGTTTATGATTTAATTGTACTCAGTGACATTCTACGTTAAATCTATAGTCAAAAATTGCTTCAGAAATTTTTTTATTCTATAGACATGTGAAGTAATCTCAAATACCGCGAGAATAAATTTGACGCTTTCAGGTGGTTTGAAGTTCTCTTTTGTAATCTAAACTTTTTACTTAATTGTTAACCGCACCGCCTTTCGTTTATACTTTTCGTGGTTTTTTTCCCAATCTATCAAAAATGAAATTTCTAACCTCCCTTTGTAAATGCAACCCGTTTCGGAAAATTATCTGGATGGTGAAAAACTGGCGAAATTGGATTCCGAGGAGAGTTACTTATCACGCCCTTTTTTGGGCTCTATCAATTTTCTGTCTTTTCGTCACAGTTGGTGATCGACTTTGGACAACTGCGACTGATGGCGATCTGTTACTTGACCGGGGGTCAAGGAAGTTCATTCCGCCTTCGGATAGTAAATTGGGCGACTGGTTAACTAACTGGTTTTGGATTATAACTGCGCGAACCCTTATAGTCTCGCTTAACATGAGTTTTGTAACGGTTATGTGGATGATTCCTAATTTTCTGGACGAAGCTTTGTCTTCATTTATCGATTCGGACGTTCGTCATTCTCATTTACAAATCCATAAGTTTGCCGGCATTTGGTTAAACGGATTTGTTGTCGTCATTCATACAGCTTTGATCTTTCTGCCGACAATTATTGACGGGACACCTATGAAACTTATGACCAACGGGTTCAATTTTGACGACTGGTGGGACCCTTGCGTGCGGAAGTTCAAGTCTTACATAACTGATACTGAAATTTATTTCACAGTTGACGAGATTTTCCGACTCGTTCTTTCGGTATTATGTTTCGTTATAATGATGCCGCTAAGTCGCGCCGATTGGATGTTGTATAAGAGTTATTCAGTTGCGATGGCGATTCACGGATTCGCCGGCTTCGCCTTCATGTGGGATATGCTTCGTAAGAACTCGCACCCTCTATGCTGGAGGTTCAATTTACCCTTCATCATTCTCTACTGTATTGACCGACTTTTTTCGATGTTCATTTACCGCGTGAACACATTTAAAGTTCAAAAAGTTGAAAGAGTTTCTGATTCCTGCTTTGTTTTGTATGGTTGGGTGCCCAAATTACCCTACAGAGGTCAAGGGTGTGGGGACAACTACTGGCTGCTTCATCGGATTCCAAAGAAAAGTAGGGGCGACCCGATGTTCCAGAGAGCCCATCCTTATACTTCGTTCCAGAACTGGGACGAGTCGACTCGCCATTTGTGGAATGTTGGATTCGTGATTAAGACAAATAATAAAAATCGACACTCGTGGTCTCTGTGGCTCATGAACAGGTAAACTTATTGGCAGTAACAGTTTGTTGATTCATTTTGATGATTTCGAGATTTTTTGGGACTTAATTCAACATGTTTCAATTTAATAATAATCTACTCTATAATCTAATTACACAGCCACTGCTAAAAATGATACACAGTCTATAGCGATCTAAGAAGTTGAAAAAAATGGTGCTTCCGAAATTACCAGGTAATTCAATCAGTCCTGAATTTAGTTTTACCTATTTATTTTTCCAGGGGAATTGAAGGTCCGAATTTCAACCGAATATAATCATTTGTTCGAATTTTTTTGAGAGTGACTATGAGAAACCACGCTAATTCGTTTCTATCCATAAAGATCCGGTGCAAAATTATTTGTTGCACCATCGCATTAAAACGGCCGTCCTGCATGATTCAATTAAAAAGGGTTTTATTGCACTCTAAACGGACAAGTATACTAGACTTATTGATAATTACACCTGTTCTTCTTCGTACTAGCAAAAATACACGACAAAAGACCTTACCTCCTGAGATTTTGGCTGCGCTCGATATATGTTATGAAAACCTCTGTCGACGATGTTCATGCGCAAAAGGAAATCGTTTTGGCTGCATAATTTTCGTGTTTTTGCATACAGATATCATAAAGGATGGTCGTAACATTCCAGTTCTCGCCATAATTTAAGCGCTCGAATTTTATTATGAAGCTTGTTGCGTCTTTCACTTTTTCCTTTTAATTTTCTGTGTCGTTTAAAAATTTATCTAAAATTACTTTTATCTAACTACTTAACTGAACTTAAGTTAAACTTGTCAACCCAAACACTTAACTAAAAATTGATCAAGTTTTTGCCTGTGGGGGCGTAGCAATAAACATGTGCACCTATAAGCATGCGATAGTTGCTTCAAAAAGGTAGAATTTCTGGCTATTAAACTTCACGTTTCACGAGAATATTAAACTTCAATTTCATTAATAATTTTTTCACCTTCACGAATATTTGATTAGTGAATATGAATTTTTTAATCCTTAAATAATCAAACTTTTTCATAATTATTTGATAGCTTAGGCTATTAATTTATAAATAATATCATTATTCGTGCCTGCCGGTTAAAACCTGCCGATAAAAATCATTTTTCGGCGGAGTTAGTTAAAACCTGTTTTTCGTACGAAACTTTCCTGTTTAATCCGCCCTTGAAATTGAGTCTTTGTTAAACGATTTATATTTGAAAAGCAAAGGCTATAATACTCAGGCGACTGGTTTTTATCATTTTAGCGTTCTATTTTTAATAATGGTATTAGTCGTCATGTTAATGGAATGGCGACTCAATTTATTAGTTGTAGCAGAAACAAAAAATGCGCGACCTCAAATGTTAGTAAAATTAGACTGATTTTTACCATCGAAGTAAACTACACTGTTTAATGAATAGATGTTTGGTTTATGATTTAATTGTACTCAGTGACATTCTACGTTAAATCTATAGTCAAAAATTGCTTCAGAAATTTTTTTATTCTATAGACATGTGAAGTAATCTCAAATACCGCGAGAATAAATTTGACGCTTTCAGGTGGTTTGAAGTTCTCTTTTGTAATCTAAACTTTTTACTTAATTGTTAACCGCACCGCCTTTCGTTTATACTTTTCGTGGTTTTTTTCCCAATCTATCAAAAATGAAATTTCTAACCTCCCTTTGTAAATGCAACCCGTTTCGGAAAATTATCTGGATGGTGAAAAACTGGCGAAATTGGATTCCGAGGAGAGTTACTTATCACGCCCTTTTTTGGGCTCTATCAATTTTCTGTCTTTTCGTCACAGTTGGTGATCGACTTTGGACAACTGCGACTGATGGCGATCTGTTACTTGACCGGGGGTCAAGGAAGTTCATTCCGCCTTCGGATAGTAAATTGGGCGACTGGTTAACTAACTGGTTTTGGATTATAACTGCGCGAACCCTTATAGTCTCGCTTAACATGAGTTTTGTAACGGTTATGTGGATGATTCCTAATTTTCTGGACGAAGCTTTGTCTTCATTTATCGATTCGGACGTTCGTCATTCTCATTTACAAATCCATAAGTTTGCCGGCATTTGGTTAAACGGATTTGTTGTCGTCATTCATACAGCTTTGATCTTTCTGCCGACAATTATTGACGGGACACCTATGAAACTTATGACCAACGGGTTCAATTTTGACGACTGGTGGGACCCTTGCGTGCGGAAGTTCAAGTCTTACATAACTGATACTGAAATTTATTTCACAGTTGACGAGATTTTCCGACTCGTTCTTTCGGTATTATGTTTCGTTATAATGATGCCGCTAAGTCGCGCCGATTGGATGTTGTATAAGAGTTATTCAGTTGCGATGGCGATTCACGGATTCGCCGGCTTCGCCTTCATGTGGGATATGCTTCGTAAGAACTCGCACCCTCTATGCTGGAGGTTCAATTTACCCTTCATCATTCTCTACTGTATTGACCGACTTTTTTCGATGTTCATTTACCGCGTGAACACATTTAAAGTTCAAAAAGTTGAAAGAGTTTCTGATTCCTGCTTTGTTTTGTATGGTTGGGTGCCCAAATTACCCTACAGAGGTCAAGGGTGTGGGGACAACTACTGGCTGCTTCATCGGATTCCAAAGAAAAGTAGGGGCGACCCGATGTTCCAGAGAGCCCATCCTTATACTTCGTTCCAGAACTGGGACGAGTCGACTCGCCATTTGTGGAATGTTGGATTCGTGATTAAGACAAATAATAAAAATCGACACTCGTGGTCTCTGTGGCTCATGAACAGGTAAACTTATTGGCAGTAACAGTTTGTTGATTCATTTTGATGATTTCGAGATTTTTTGGGACTTAATTCAACATGTTTCAATTTAATAATAATCTACTCTATAATCTAATTACACAGCCACTGCTAAAAATGATACACAGTCTATAGCGATCTAAGAAGTTGAAAAAAATGGTGCTTCCGAAATTACCAGGTAATTCAATCAGTCCTGAATTTAGTTTTACCTATTTATTTTTCCAGGGGAATTGAAGGTCCGAAGCCTTTTAAAAAACAAAAAGCGCTTAAAAGTTCTGGCATCATCACACTTCGTCATGAATTCAAGGAAACGGAACTATACAATATCAGCGAAGGCGTTAACAACCCGACTTATGAGGACGACTTGCAAGTGGCCTCAAACTCCAACACTTATTTTGAGGCAACATCTGATCAGAAACTAAAAGAAAATGAAAATAATGATCCGAAAGAAAACAAAACCTTATCGGAAAAAGGGGAATTAAGCAATGAAGATCAAAAAGAAAGACAGCCGGAAACACAGAAAACTCAAAATATTCCTCTAAAATCTGAAATTGAAAATCAAGATATTTCTCACCTTGATTCAGCAAAGCACGAGAAAGAAAATCAGAGCACCGCAATTCAGATCACGGGAAAAACTGCAATTTTCGCGGTAGAAGCTCCTAATAATGAGTTTGAACTGACCTCATATGGTCCATATAGGTCGTCGTTCTATGTTATCGGAACTGCATATCACTCTTATGAACACCTGGTGCTGATTGCAGGAGGGTCTGGGTTCGGGTTCTTCATGAGTGCATTGACAATGATCAGTAAGTTGAACTTCTATTTACACCGGTAGTTTTTGCGTATTTTACTGCAGAATAGTACATTAAACCTATACCCTTCTTAATTTTTGCTTGATAAAAACTTCCTAGTTTATGAAGGTACTTCTATTTTTAGTTTGTAACAATTAGAACAGAAAATATAAAAAGCTTCCATGAAAAAAACGGCAATGATAAAAGGCGACTTGATCAAGTAAAAATTTATCTAACTGTCAATATTAATTAAAATACTGGAAATTTAATGGAATTAAATACAGTACAATTAATTCAAAAATAATTAATTCAAAAGTACAATTAATAGAATTTTTCAATTGAAAAAGTAACAATTTCATTGTACTTAAGGTTTGGCATCATAATTTTTTTCTAGATGACTACGAGAAGGAAAACAAGGACCGAACGGAGCCTGAAAAGCCATCCAAGCTGAACAACACGACCATTCTCTACTCGGCACGTGACATGAAACTCATCAACCTATGTGGTAAGATGATATCCAACATCAAATCATACAGCAAATGTCGTTTTGTCATCCAGTACACAGGTGCAGAAACAGAAGCTTCCGAGCATGAGTC